ACAATAAACTGATTAAGTATCCTTTGGTAGAAGCAAAAATACAGAAAAATTGCTTCAAATTGATATTTTTCTGGCAGGATTTTATAGCTGAACCAGTGGCATTCCCCAAATTTCTTGTATTTCTTGTATTTGTGTTACAGGGGCAGAAATGGACAATAAGGGTACAGGTAACAAAATAAGAAAGAGGAAGGAAAAATTTTAAACTTTTCTCACTTTAACCAAAACAAAACAAAAAAAAACTCAAAAGGATCTCTGGACTGCTCTTTAGGACAAGGATCTCCAAACTTTCTAAACATAGGTCCAGTATACTGTCCTTAAAACTTTATGGGGGCTTGACTGTGACCAGTGGGGAGAAAAAATATCCTGGTGTCAGTGGGAATAAACAATGTCCCATCTTTGGTAACAGTGGGAGGAATAGTACCCCAGCATTGATGTCAGTGAGAGGAATAGTGTCCCACCGGTGTCATTGGGAGAAATGCTTCTCCATCATTACAATTAAAGAGTTCCTCCTGCGCTTATTAGGGGTGGTCAGTGTATAAATAAGCAGCCAACACCAATCCTCCATAGTGTAATAGGTTTTTTATTATATATATATATTGTAATCAAACAAAATGCCTGCTCACTTTTTAGCAGCAAAAAACATGCCTTTAAACCTCATGCTATGGTGTACTGCATGGGTTTTAGGAATTGGGTGTGCTAAGATGGCGTCCACGCCGGAAGTATGTCACCGCGCTACTAAAAAGTGAGTGGGCATTTTGTTTGATTGCAATATACAGTCATGGCCGAAATTGTTGGCACCCTTGATATTTTTCCTGAAAATCAAGTATTTCACACAAAAAAGGTATTGCATTAACACATGTTTTGCTATACACATGTTTATTCCCTTTGTATGTATTGGAACAAATATAAAACAGAGGCAGAAAAGCAAATATGACATAATGTCACACAAAACCCCAAAAATGGGCTGGACAAAAGTATTGGCACCCTTAACTTAATATTTGGTTGCACACCCTTTGGAAAACATAACTGAAATCAGTCGCTTCCTATAACCATCAATAAGCTTCTGACACCTCTCACCCGGAATTTTGGACCACTCTTCCTTTGCAAACAGCTCCAGGTCTCTCTTATTGGAAGGACACCTTTTCCCAACAGCAATTTTAAGATCTCTCCACAGGTGTTCAATGGGATTTAGATCTGGGCTCATTGCTGGCCACTTCAGAACTCTCCAGCGCTTCTTTGCCATCCATTTCTGAGTGCTTTTTGACGTATGTTTGGGGTCATTGTCCTGCTGGAAGACCCAGGATCTTGGACGCAAACCCAGCTTTCTGACACTGGGCCCTACAGTGCGACCCAAAATCCTTTGGTAATCCTCAGATTTCATGATGCCTTGCACACAGTCAAGGCACCCAGTGCCAGAGGCAGCAAAACAACCCCAAAACATCATTGAACCTCCACCATATTTTACCGTAGGTACTGTGTTTTGTTCTTTGTAGGCCTCATTCCGTTTTCGGTAAACAGTAGAATGATGTGCTTTACCGAAAAGCTCTATCTTGGTCTCATCTGTCCACAAGACGTTTTCCCAGAAGGCTTTTGGCTTACTCAAGTACATTTTGGCAAACTGTAGTCTTGCTTTTTTATGTCTCTGTGTCAGCAGTGGGGTCCTCCTGGGTCTCCTGCCATAGCGTTTCATTTCATTTAAATGTCGACGGATAGTTCGCGCTGACACTGATGCTCCCTGAGCCTGCAGGACAGCTTGAATGTCTTTGGAACATGTTTGGGGCTGCTTATCCACCATCCGGACTATTCTGCGTTGCAATCTTTCATCAATTTTCCTCATCCGTCCACGACCAGGGAGATTAGCTACAGTGCCATGGGTTGCAAACTTCTTGATAATGTTGCGCACTGTGGACAAAGGCAAATCTAGTTCTCTGGAGATGGACTTGTAACCTTGAGATTGTTGATATTTTGCCACAATTTTGGTTCTCAGGTCCTCAGACAGTTCTCGTCTCCTCTTTCTGTTGTCCATGCTTAGTGTGGCACAGACAGACACACAATGCAAAGGTTAAGTGAACGTCTCTCCTTTTTATCTGCTTTCAGGTGTGATTTCTATATTGCCCACACCTGTTACTTGCCCCAGGTGAGTTTACAGGAGCATCACATGCTTGTAACATTCTTATTTATCCGCAGTTGTGAAAGGGTGCCAATACTTTTGTCCAGCCCATTTTTGGAGGTTTGTGTGACATTATGTCGAATTTGCTTTCTTTCCTCCCTTTTTTTGTTTTGTCCCAATACACACAAAGGGAATAAACATGTGTATAGCAAAACATGTGTTAATGCAATACGTTTCGTGAGAAATACATGATTTCCTGGAGAAATATCAAGGGTGCCAACAATTTCGGCCATGACTGTATATATAATAAAAAACCTATTACACTATGAGGGATCTTTTGTTTTTAACTATGATCCGGATGGGAGATTATGCTGTGTAGCGGATACTTATATCTGGAGTGGACCAGAGAAGCGTAAGTGCCGCCAGAGAGGAGGATTACTGTTGGATACCATCCAGTAACCTGATACTGCCTGTGAAGGATCCTGGGGTGATCCTGAAAACGTGCTGGCCCAGTGGGTCATAGCAAGCAGGTGAGGGGGCATTTTGGCCATTGAGGATTTTACAATTGATGTGAATGCACATTCACCTCATCACCTGCATGGAATATACCTACCTATGTATTTTTTGGAGCACGATTTATCTAAGAGTTTTGTGGACATTTAGGGATTTTTTGTTTACCTGTCACTGGAATTTTTTTGGAATGTATTGTTGATTGCACTTTTATATAAACACTTGTCACTTTGTGTTAGGAAAGTATTCCCCCAGTTTGGGGAATCACAGATATTTTGCACTAGTTTGTGTTTGGGGGGTTTTTGTTTGTTTTTTGAAATTTAAATCCCAGTAGGGATAACCCTGGGGATTTGGTTTGATTGGTTTGTTCTTTTACTTTATGAGGTCCTGGGGAGGACCAGTCTTCACATTATTGGGCACTACGTAGTTTTTGGCACCAATTAGATCCGTATTGGATCATATCACTATAGAATTATTTTTTGCATGTATATTCTATTCATTTTTCTTATTATTTATTATTATCACTGATTAAGATATTTATATATATATATATATTTTTTGTATTTTTAATGTTATAGCGCCACACTATTATTATTGTTCTTCACAGTTACTTCTCCATCATTGGTGTTAACAGGGGGAATAGTGCCCCATCATTAGTGTCAGTAGGAGGAATAGTAAAACCATTGTCAGTGGTAGGAACTATGCCCCACTGACGCTGACAGTAGGGGGGGGGGGTGCCACAAGGGCAAGATAAAAGCAAGCAAAGGGCCCTGGGCCACAGTTTGGAGACCACTGCTCTAGGAGATTACAGTAGACTAATTTTGATACAAGGGTAAATCCACTGAAATAATTATCTCCTTGTCATCGGTGCAAGCAGTTGTGTTATTTACTTTCTATGACTATATGTAGGTGGTTATATATTTTATTTTTAAAATGTCATATTTTTAAATATGGGGGCACCCATGACACTGGTTTAGTTTCTTTTCTAATTGAAAATCATTGTATGAACTGAGCAGGCAGGAGGGGTGAAGAGTGAAACCTCTAACTCATTCAGCTTTACATATTATTTCAGCTTCACTTATTCAGCTCTGTAAGTGACACCCTTTTTTTTCTCAGCAATGCAGTTAAGGTTAACCTGTTAAACAAATGAAAACAGCCTGGGATTCTACCTTCTGGCAAGTAAATATGGAATATTTACCTGACTAAAAATTTAGGGGCAATCTTAAAATATTTTTAGCATTGAACATAAACAGTAGATGTATGTATATAAACACATGATACTGTATGCTAAAACTGCTGCAGGCTGCCATTAATTTATTGTGATGTTATTCTGCCTCAAGGTAGAACACAGAGAAATCTGTGTGATAATCATCAGAAGATTTGCAAAAGGTGTAGGACTTCTGGATTTCCTGAAAAATTATACACAATTAGCAAAGATTTCCACAGTCAGTTAGCCTTGTAGAATGCCTTAGCTGTGTCATGTGACAACAAAGTCACTTTTTAGTTCTATGGACCATTTTCTTGACAAATATTTTTTCTATGTCTGTATGCATACTAGGTCTGCTTTGACCTCACAGCTCCACAAAGTTTTGCTTTTACAGTTTTCTCATGTGATGTAAGTCATTAGCAATTTATAGTGAATGACATTGTGGCAAAAATTCCTGTAAATTGGAAAGCACCTGGACCACCCATTCTCAGTTAATTGTAAAGTAAAAGAGACATGATTTTGTATTTCTTCTCTTGCAGTTTGTAGCTGTTTAGGATTTAGTGATTCTGTAGACTGCATTGTGTAAACCCCTTTCTCAACAAAAATTAATTTTTGAGTTCTGGGCCTTTGTGCTTACATCATTTTCCTGTTTAAACTGTGGAGGTATACTTGTTTTACTTGCTAGAATAGGTGTAGCATTCCCATTTGTAACACAAAACTAGCAGGTTAGTTTAGTGGCCTTTCACCATCACATATATCTTATATGTCTTTTAGGAATCAGTAAAATTTAGAGTATTAAAATGTCATGGTATCAGTGAGCCCAGTGTCCAAGGCACTAAGCAGTGAAGTAATTGCTGCTACTCATTATGCACAGTTACTCTAATAGTTATATCTTTGAGCCATGTATCCTCTTTCTGTGTGCACCGTGTTACATAGTTGGTAAGGTTGCATAAAGACACTAGTCTATCCATTTCAGCCTGTGTGGGTGTGTTTATGTATTTATGTCTCTACCAGTTCCCAAATCCCTGTTATATTGTGTTCACTAAAATGCCCATCTAAAAGTTTTTTTAAATTATTGAAACTTCCTACTGACACCACCAATTATGAAAGGGAGTTCAACATCCTTTCCACTCTAACCATAAAGAATCCCCTACACAGTCTAAGGTTAAGCCCAGGGGCGGACTGACCATTTGGAAACTCGGGCTCCGCCCGAGGGCCCGGGGTCAGTAGGGGGCCCCATGAGATACCCCTGGTACCTTTTTCATAGGCTTTTTTGAGTTTGGGCAAGGACACAGGGGCCCCATGATCCCCTATTGCCCGAGGGCGCCATGAGTTGTCAGTCCGCCCCTGGTTAAGCCACTTCTCATCCAACTTCATTGAGTGGCCATATGTCTTCCTAAGTGACCTGAAACTGAATAGTTTTCTCCCTATGCTAGAATCATATTTGTATATTGCAATAATTTCTCCTCTCAAGTGTCTCTTCTCCAGGGAAAATAAGTTTAATGTGAATAGCCATTCCCCAAAACTGAGATCCTCCAGCTCCCTTATTAGTTTTTTTTGCCCCTCTCTGGACTCTCTCCAGTTCCAGCACAAGCTTCCCGAAGACTGGTGATCAGAACTAGAAGACATACTTAAGTTGCTGCTAAACAGAGTTTTGTAAATCAGTAGATTTATATTTTTATCTATGAGTAAATACACTTTTTAGCCGCCTCCCACCCGCCATATAGTACAATGATGGGCACAAGGCGGTTCTCTCGTTCTGGGAGGATGTCATATGACGTCCTCCCATTCTAACCACGCATGCACGTCTCCGTGAGCGCGCAGTGCGGCGATCGGTGGTGCGCTGTGTCCCTGGGGCACAGCAGATCACTGATCAATGGAAAGAGCTGAAGATGTCGGCTCAGGCATGTGATCAGCTGTGTCCAATCACAGCTGATCACATGTAAATAGGGAAATGCCGGTTATCAGCATTTCTCTCCTCGCGAGCTGTCACGCTGACAGCTTGAGAGGAGAGGAGAGCCGGCAATCGGCATCCCTCAGAGGGGACATGCACACTGATCATCAGGGCACTGATGATCAGTGTTCCCTGATGATCTGTGTAGCCCCAGCAGTGCCACCTATCAGTGTCCTTCAGTGCCAGCTGTCAGTGCTCATCCATGCCACCTGCCAGTGCCCATCAGTGTAACATCAATGCCACATTTCAGTGCCTACCAGTGCACATCAATGCCACATATCAGTGCCCATCTGAGCTGCCTTTCAGTGTCACCCATCAGTGCAAGCCAGTGCCACCTATCAATGCCAGTCAGTGCCACCTATCAGTGCCAATCAGTGCTGCCTATCAGTGCCAGTCAGTGCTGCCTATCAGTGCCAGTCAGTGCCGCCTATCAGTGTGCATCAAGGCCGCCTATCAGTGCCCGTCAGTGCTGCCTATCATTGCCACCTAACAGTGCCAGTCAGTACCACCTATCAGTGTCAGTCAGTGCCACCTATCAGTGCCAGTCAGTGCTGCCTATCAGTGCCACCTATCAGTGCCATATATGAGTGCTGCATTTCAGTGCCCATCAGTGCCACCTACCAGTGCCTCCTCATCAGTGCCCATCAGTGCCACTTATCAGTGTCCATCAGTGCAGCCTATCAGTGCCCATCACTGCAGCCTCATTAGCGCACAGCAGTGAAGGAAAAAAACCACTTATTTACAAAATTGTAGAACAAAAACTAAGAAAAAACTTTTTTTTTTCAAAATTTTCAGTGGTTTTTGGTTTGTTTAAGAAAAAATAAAAAACCCAGAGGTGAATAAATACCACCAAAATAAAGCTCTATCTGTCACAAAAAATGATAAAAATGTCATATGGGTACAGTGTTGCATGACCACGCAATTGTCATTCAAAGTGCAACAGCACTGAAATCTGGAAATTGGCCTGGGCAGGAAGGGGGTATAAGTGCCCTGTAGGCTAGTGGTTAATGCATGCTAACAGTCCTTTGGTCTTGCTTGCTGCCGCATGGCATTGTATGCTATTTCAAGGCTCAAAGTCATCTACTAGGACCCAGATCCTTTTCCATCTTTGATTCCCCCAGAGGTTCCCCCCCCCCCCCAGTGTGCAGCTTGTAATTGTATTTTTAGTCCCCCAGGTGCATTACTTTACATTTTCCTACATTAAACCTCATTTGCCATGTAGTTGTCCACCCCTCTCTTCTGTCAAGGTCTTTTTGCAAAGATGCTATATCTTGTTGTGAAGGTATTACCCTGTTTAGCTTTGCATCATCAGTAAAAACTGAGATCAAACCATTCATACCAACCTCTATGTCTTTTTTGAACACACTAACCACTTGCTGACCATATAACCTAGTTATACGATGGCAAAATGGCTCTTCTGTGCTGGATCACATACCTAGTACATGATCCTGCACTTCCGGGTAGGAGGTGTGTACACGTTCCGCTGGCGACCCAGCTGTAAAGTGTGGTGCAGGTGCAATAGATGACCACCAGCACCCAGTGATCGGCAAAGAAAAAGACAGAATAGAGCTCTGCCTATGTAAACAAGGCAGGGCTCTGTTCTGTCTGAGGTGTTGTGCTCGATTTTGTTTCCCTGCAAAGCAGGGAATAAACACCAGCACAACCCTTAGTGAAAGCATTACGTAGTACACACAAAAACACTGGTTAGGCATACATTTACCCTTTGATCACCCTAGATGTTTAACCCCTTCCCAGCCAGTGTCATTAGTACAGTGACCACTGTATTAGTGTCAATGGCTCCCACAAAGTGTGAAAAGTGTCAGTTAGTGTCAGATTGCGTGAAATCGCAGTTCTGGTATTCTGGTAAGTCACTGATTTCTGCCATTACTAGTATAAATAAAAATAAATACAAATTCCAGTACACTGTATATACTATAGTTTGTAGATGCTACAACGTTCGTGTAAACCAATCAATATACGCTTATTGGGATTTTGTTTTACCAAAAATATGTAGCAGAATACATATTGGCCTAAATTTATGAAGAAATTTCATTTTTTTTTATTGGATATGTTTTATAGCAGAAAGTAAAAAAAATTCAGTCTTTTTAGTTTATAGTGCAAAAAAATTAAAAAAAAACAGTAGTAATCAAATTCCACCAAAAGAAAGTTCTATTTGTGGGAAAAAAATTACATAAATTTTGTTTGTGTACAACGTTGCATGACCACACCTTTGTCAGTTAAAGTAACGCAGTGTGAAAAAGCAAAAAATGGTCTGGTCATGAAGGAAGGTAAATTTTCTGGAGTTCAAGTGGTTAAACAGAATTAGTGGGGCAGCACAGTGGCTAAATGGTTAGCACTTCCGCCTGGCAGTACTAGGGTCGTTGGTTTGAATCCCAGCCACGGCACCACCTGCCTGGAGTTTTCATGTTCTCCCTGTGCCTGCGTGGGTTTCCTCCAGGTACTCCAGTTTTCCTCCCCACACTCCAAAGATATGCTGGTAGGTAAATTGGATCCTCTCTAAAGTGTCTCTAGTATGTGTATGTATGAATGTAAGATAGGGACCTTAGATTGTATGCCTCTTGAGGGTTAGGGACTGATGGGAATGTACAATATATATGTGTAAAGCACTGCGTAAATTGACGGTGCTATATAAGTACCTGAAATAAATAAATATTAATAAATAGTCCCAGGACAGAGCCTTGGTATACCTTACTTACACCACTAGGCCATTCAGAAGATACTCTATGTATCACCTTTTGTACCTGCTCCTGTAACCAGTTTTCTATCCAGGTACATACGCTATCACTAATGCCAACAGACCTCAACTTGTTAATTAAGTTTATGGGGTACCATATCAAATGCTTTGGGCAGCACAGTGGCTAAGTGATAAGCACTTCTGCCTAGCAGCACTAAAATTGTTGGTTAGAATCCCAACCACGGTATTACCTGTGTGGAGTTTGCATGTTCTTCCTGTGCCTGCATGGGTTTCCTCTGGGTACTCCGGTTTCCTTCCACACTCCAGAGACATGCTGGTAGGTTAATTGGCTCCTGTATTAATTGGTCCTAGTATGCGTATGTATGTAAGTTAGGGCTCTTAGAATGTAAGCTCCTTGAGTCTCGGTTCACACTACTGCAATCTGAAAGTCACGTGGCCTACAGTGCAACTTTTCCAGACAACTTGAGTACTACTTTGAAGCTACTCTGTACGACTCTGAAGCAACTTTCAGGGAATAACAAAAAATGAACGGTGTGTACCCTTTAAATATTTCCCCAATTGCACCTAAACACTTTTCAACCCAAAAAGTGTATCATCCAAATATATACTGTATATATATAAAGTGCTAATATACTAAATAACACTAATAAATAAATAAATAAATACTACTGTCCAAAAATTATATTGTCCACAATAAAAAATAAAATATAATCAAATAAAATAAACAGAATAGACAAAAATCCTCCAGAAAGACAGTACGCAAAAAGGCTTCCAGCCGAATGTAGATCCAGTGATTATGGAGATCGAACCTCAAAAAAAGAGAGAACTCACATAGTGTGATACCATAAAAACGCATAAGGTAATATCAACATCACTGCAAAAAACGCATGTGAATCACACTAAACCACACGTGGTGACTCATGCAGGTGAGTATAATGTGAGCTGTGCCAACCGCTATAAACACTCTCATGTAGTGTGCAAACCATGTAAACACGTGTCCACTTCTAAGTGTAAGGATAAAACACCCTTACCAGAACATGGATATAACAAGCATGTAAGTCCCAATCCAAAAACGGCTTTTCAAACTTAGCAAGTGGGAAATTCCTCCTCCATTACCATATAGATTTCCTCCAAAGCTGAGCAGATTATACTGATAAAGTTCATGTAAAAACTCATCCGGTCATGTTCTCAATGACTCCGGATAATGCCACCACAAACAGAAATAGGAAGTTCTTCAATACCACATAAATTTTATTGCATAAATGTCACATCATATTAAAATTATGAACAGACCCTCCATAGATCCTCAGGAACACTCCTCCTGTGTCTGTGAATGGAATTTCCAGGATCCAAGACTTTCAGGGAATGCCTGGGTAATCTTCCTGTAATGTTGGATCCAAATCACATCAATATAGATGTGGATCTGACTTGGAACCAACATTCATTAAAGTCTATAGGCACAAGTCGGATAGAAGTCACCTTGAAGTAGTAAAGGAACCTTGTCTAAAGTTGGAGCGACTTCAGTAGTGCAAAGTAAGACAGCTCTCAATGACTAACATGGGATTTCACATGTCATGCGACTTGGGGTCTCACAAGTTGGATCCCGAGTCACAGCATTGTGAACAGAGCATGAGGGTTAGGGACTGATGTGAATGTACAATGTATATAAAGTGCTGCGTAAAAAGTACCTGTAATAAATAAATACATTTAGACACACTGCATCCACAGGCCTTCCTTTATCCAGAATGGTCTGGCAACAACGATCCTTCATAAATCCTTGCTAGTTACTACTAATGACACGTGTGATTTTTTTTTTTAATTGCTGTGCAATTTACAGTAATTTAATGGTGTAATTATAAGCTTTGCTGGTATATGTGTTTGCTTGGTGCGCTGAGGGTTAACAGCAATCCCGGGTAGATTCACGCACATTGCTGCCTTCCTCTCTTGTTAAAGTCCTCATAACAATGAAACCTCATTGGGTGTGGAGCCTAAGAGCGTGCTCAGTCTCAGCTTACAGAGCAGAGGTTATCCACAAAGAACACTGCTGGCTATATCATCAGTACCAGGAGAGTGCCTCTACTGTTCTGAGGAAGCTGACAGCTTATGTTCATAAATACTATTGTTAACATGTAAGTGTATTACAGTTTCTAATATAATGTATGAAGGTGCTTTTATAATACCACAATATGTGGAATTTTTTTTTACTTGCATTCTGAGAAACATGAGAAGGGGCAACTCAAACATAGGCAATCTGGTCTACACCTGATTAAATGCTTCTCTCACACTGCCCCCCTCCTGTGAAAGGGATCTGCTGTGGGCAGGGGCGGACTGACCATTTGGAAATTCGGGCACTGCCCGAAGGCCCGGGGTCAGTAGGGGACCCCATGAGATGCCCCTGGTACCTTTTTCATAGGCTTTTTTGAGTTTGGGCAAGGACACAGGGGCCCCATGATCTCCTATTGCCTGGGGGCCTCATGAGTTGTCAGTCTGCCCCTGGCTGTGGGACTGTAATAAAGGGCCCCGCAATGGCAATAAAGGCTCCTGGGATCAGTGGTAAGAGTTCCAGGTTCTAGGGGAAGGTCCCAGGCTGGGGGGTCGGTGGGCCCTTCAGGGTTTCTTGCACTGGGGACCTGAAGATTCTAGTTATGTTTCTGTCACCAAGTAGGTCTTCGCCAATAATAGCA